CAAATAAATAAAATCTTAAAAAAAAAAAAAAAAAAGAGTGGGTCGCGGATGCACCTCCGACAGCAACATGACGTTTCCCGGGGTGGGGGTTCCGGGGGGGGGGACGGGCACACCCAGCCTGGAGCACGTCCCCTCCCTCCGCTCGGAGCCAAGCCGCCGCAGGCCGATCCTCCCAGAAATCTCCGGGCCTCTCCGAGCAGAGGTTCCGTCATTACATCCACTTGGTGAGGAGAAGCCAGGCCCAGAGAGCCAAGGGCGCCGCCCTGCTGACCTCCACGCTCTGCCTGGTGGCATGGATGTCACTGAACTCAGCAGGGCCCTTGGGCGGGGCGGCACGGGGACAGCCAGGGCGGTTCAGTAAAACCGCGTCTTCTAGCCACAGGCTTGACATCCGCCATCACCTGGTCTCCCATCCGCCCCTCCCCACTCACCACCACAGGTCTCCCTCTGCGCCATCCATTGCCAGTGGACCAGAGACCCCTTCTTGTCCAAACCGAGAGAAACCCAACGCCAATGACCTTAAGCCGAAGCAGCCGTGTGTGTGCGTCGGGGAGGCAGTCTTCTAGATTTGGCCTGCTCGGGCCCACAGGGCGCCGAGGTCCCTTCCCTGCATACGCTGGCCCCTTCCGCACATGGGGCTCGCAAACCTGGCCGCCGCCCCCGCCGTGCCCACTTCTCAGATGTGATGCCCAGGCCTGCTGCCACCTTCCCAGGGATGGGCACCTCTGGTGCTCGGGGCACAACCGAGCCTGGCCAAGCTCAGTCCCCACACACGGGCCCCTCCTCCTGGACACGGCCCCGTGGCCTCCTTCACCTCCACGTCTCAGCTGGACCGTGGCTTCCCGGCTCGTACACCCAAGCGGTCACTCAGCTTCTATCTGCTCTGCACGTGAGATGTCCCAACAGGCCGGGCCTGCCGTCCCCTGCCACCCTCCCGTGCGTGGACTGTGGCCCAGGGCGCTGTGGGGTGGGTGGTGTCTCGGCCTGGCCACAAGCCTCCAATAGAGTGTGCACCCGCCCCCCATGGAAGGTCTGGGAGAGGCTTGCAGGCCCTGCTCTGCCCCTAAGACAGAACTAGGGGGCTCTCTGGGCTGCGTAGGAGTTTAATCCACTTACAGCTGCATCTGCTCAGAGTGCTGTCAGCTCAAAGCTTCACCAGGAGAGTTCAGAATCTGGGTTTCCCACAGCCTCGGCCCGGTGTCCCCGGCCCTAACACCAGTGCACCTTGCCTGGGCCTGCACTGCTCTTGGGCACCAGTGGCCACAACTGACCGCCCCCGCCGCCTCTGTGGGTGGACATCCAACGCTGCTGCCCCCATCCACACCCCCTTTGGGTGGGCGCCTTACTGCGCTTGGAGGTGAGCACCATGTTGGTCCAGCTCCGGCCTCCTCGGGGTCAGATCCTTGCAGGAATCTCCACGGGCTGCCTCCCAGACGGAGCTCTGGGTCCCCCAGACCCAATTCCTACTCCTGCAGGCCCATCCCCCACTCTCACTTGCTCCACCAGAAACGTGGGCGACATCCTTGATTCTGCCCCTCCCTTCACTGGCGTCCCCTCAGGCCTGGTGTCTCCATAGCCGCCATCGTGGGCCCACCCTCACTCCCAGCGCATGGATTCACCGCCGGGGGAGGGCCCCGCCTGCTCCAAACCCCCACTGACTTTCTCCTGCGTCCTGAGCACACACCAAGCCCTGTGGCCGCAGGACCTCCAGCACCAGCCACTCCGCTACTCACTGCACCTCATCCTGGCTCACCACCCTGCCGCAGGCCGAGCCTCTGGACGCTTGGCCCCTCCGGCCTCTGCTTACGCCCCGACCCGGGGCATCGTTGCAGGTGCCGTGTCCCGCTGCCACAGGGTGGCCACGTGCACCCCTAACACTCACCCCTCCTGCAGCCCCTTCTTCACCCTGTCCGCCCTGCGGGTAGGTGCCCCCCAGGGGATGTCAGACTACCTTCTGCTAAAGGACCACGCTGGAGGGACACCGCCCGGCCCACAGCACAGGCCAGCGCGGATCCCCGTCCCCAGCCGCGCTCCTGGCCAGAGCCCCCACCCCTCTGAGAGAGCTGCCTCACCGCGAATCAGGTTCTCTGGGGACCCCATCCTTCTCCTCCACCTGGGCCCCACGGCCCCGAGGGAGCCGCCAGGAGAAGCAAGTGTCCCAAGATCCCCTCCTGCTCCTGATGGGACAGTGTTCTTGGGTGAGGGCCCCGCCTTGGCCTGTAGGGGCCCTTGGAGCTGCTCCCGGCCACTCTGGGGGGCGCTCCCCAGCCTGGCCACCCCACGAGGCAGGGCCCCGACCCGCAGATGCTGACTCCAGCTCTCAGGAGTTATTTCCAAAACCTTTATGTCGATTTTAATTATCCGCAAGATAAAGGTCACTGCTGCCTTGGGGGGCTGGGGTGGGGGGCTCGTAACGGGAGGCTGCGCAGTGGGGAGATCGGCGCTTGACCTCTCTGGGAGGAAATGTCGATTAATTATCTTTTTACAGCCAACTCAATTAGACTCCCTAATCACCTGTGTAGGACGCGGAGACAAAGGCAGAGCGGCGGCCGGAGTCAACAAGCCTTGCGGAGGCCGGGCCGCGACCGTCCAACGGCCGCCGTGGGCCCGGGCGGAGGGCCAGCCACAGGCTGGAATGTTTTCTTCATTTAAGTGAATCAAAAAACTAACTGTTATCGGCCCTGAGGGGCCGAGAGCCGCCTCACGTGGAGGTGACCAGACACACTGCATTAGTCTTTAGAGCAGGCTCAATTAGCCGAGGAGCTGGTCGCTGCCAAAGGCAGAGGACTCGTGGGGCCGGGTCTCCACGACCCAGGGGGAGAAGAGGCTGCGCGAGTGCTGGGCAGGGCCGGGTGGGCACCCTTGGGACCCTTCTCGGACGGCCCAGGTCGCCGGACAAGGGCTCGCTCTGGGCCGCGTGCTCCCTGCCCACCCGTCCATTTGTCCAGTGTGGGGCTGGCCTGATGGGGCCTCAGATGTTGTCTTCGACACGACCATGGGGCAGGACCTGCACAGTCCCAGAAGCCCCTGCCAGGAGCCCCGAGCCTGACCTCTGCCCCACGTGTCCACACAGGCTGCAGCCGGGGTGGAGAGGCCCGGGGAGCCAGCCCAGACACAGATGGTCCCCACATGGGCGCCTAAGGTCGCATCCGGACTGCAGGCCTGGGGCAGGTTTGGTTCATGGTTTTATCCAGAGGCTTTCAAACTCAACAGTTTCCAAGGAGCCTGTGTGAGAACCAGGCCCTCAGGGAGCTCGTGGGGCCTGGCGGGGAGGGGTGGGCGCGCAGCTGATCAGAACCCCAGCCCTGGGGCCCGCAGCGTGGACCAGGACCCCCGGCCCCTTGGGCTGCACTCGGCAGGGCCCACGCCGGGGGCCACGGACTGTTCCTGACGAGGAACCTGACACCTGCCTTCCCCGTCCTTTACCGAAGCGTGGAAAATGGACTTGACACAAAGCCATTGTCCCCGTTGGCCCACGTCCTTTCTGGATGCTCAGAAAATAAAGGTCGCGCTGCTGCCCCCGAAACTAGCACTCTGACGCGGCCCTGTCCTCTCCTGTATGTGCGTCCTTCTGAAGGGGGCACTTCTAAAGGGGGTCGTGCGCCCCGCCAAGTGGCTAAAACGTCCCCTTCCCCCAAACGCTACCCGAGTGCACACTGCTGTCTCCAGACTCCCTCCTGGAGCTCTGCGGGGCTGGACTCGCAAATGGGACAGGACAGAGGGGGTGATTCTGCTGGCAAACCCCAGGACGGGGGCACAAATGTGGGGGGTTCTTCCTGAGCCTGTCTCTGATGTCCCCCCGCTCCTCGCCTCCAGAAGGCTCCCTGGCCAGGCTGTTTGTACCGAGGGGCCAGAGTGAGGCCGGGCCGCCCCCGAGATGGCCAACAGGGACCCCAGCCCCCGGGGCTGAGACGGGCAGCCCGCCGCCCACACAGGGTGCCTCCCCCCGGGGCTGCTGCTTCTCATCTTGCGGGGGCAGCTCAGCGGGGTGGGGAGTGGGGGCCCCTAGGAGCGGCCCAGGGACGCGGGGTCTGACGGGAGGCTGACCTCACGATGCTTGGGCGCCGGTAAGCGCCGGGCGGCTGCCAGGGAGGCTCTGCTGAAAGGGCGGGCTGTGCTCGGACTCCCAAGCTGCCGCCGCAGCCCTTTTGCCCCCTGACGCTGCCCGTCCTAGGAGGACCGGCCCGAGCTGCTCTGTGCGCCGCAGGCCCCAGGGCTCTCAGCACAGGCCTGGGCAGAGGCCTCGGGGGCCACGAAGGGGCCCGGAACGCGGCAGCTTTCCAATGTGAGGGTCACCTGCAGGGGCGGGAGAGGCCGGGACAGTGGTGCGGGACCCTCCGCTGGGCGGGTCCAGAGGTCGGAGGTCTCCAGACGTGGCAGCAGGCCTCCCAAGAGGGATGGAGTTGGCCTCGGGATGAGGTGGTGCTTCTCCTGGCAAAAGCGAGCTCCCTGCCCTGCGTTCTTCTGGGAAAGATGAAGGGTCTCTGTGTGTCTCTAGGAGCAATCGGGTGAGGGAGAGAGCGCCATGGACCAGTGGCCTTTACGAGGAAAAGGAAGCTGGACCCTGCGGGGCCTGCAGACCGCCAGCCACGTGTGCGGTGAGGGCCGGGCACTGAGGAGCTGGCCGTGACCAGGGGTCCGAGCACACACTGAGACATCACCCCACACGTTCTCTGCACACGGGAAACTTGCACACAGATGCACGCAGTCTGCACACGAGGGTGCACACAAGTAGAAACACTCCCGGTCACCCCATGCTTACACGCACTGGCGGGCGCACACTCAGCCATGCAGCCTCTCCCGCATGTGAGCTCCCACCCGCACGCGCACGCCTGGCCCACGTCCCCTCCGTCCCGGGGCTGGTCCTCAGCCACGCCCCACACCTGCTCCTCTAGCCTGCCCTGGGCATCCCCCTGCCAGTCCAGGCCCGACTCTGCCCACCACGGGGCCTGGGCCGGGCCTGCCCCACACCCACCACCGCCCAGGACAGTAGCGACCCCAAGCAGACCCCTCCCCAGAACCTTCACCAGGGGATCCTGGACAGGTCAGGGTGCGAGGTGTGCCCTGGCCTCTTGCCCTCCTCAAGTGTCCTGCCTGAAGTGGTTCCTGCATCCCAGGGGCCACACTGGGCACCAGGAGAGCCCCATGCCCCTACCGGCTGGGGCAGGGGCCCACTCAAGCACTGTGCCCACTCCCAGTGGATGGAGAGCGCTGGGGCTGACAAGAAGAAGGCCAGAGGCCCTGAGACGCAGGGTGAGGGCAAGCAGGGCTCTGACCGCAGGAGACCAGGCGCCCCTGCTGGCCGGTCCCAGGAGGGAGAAGGGCTGCACACGGGCAGCTGGGCAGGTGGGATGTGTCCCCTCCCATTTGTGCCTCAACAGTCAAAGGCTAAACCCGAGGCAGATCAGGACACGAATGCAGTGTCTGTCCCTGCCTGGCCTGGTGGCTTTCGGCGGTCTGGGGTCTGTCCAGCAGATGGCCTAAATCCCCCAGGGCCATGGGGAAGGGGGCCCACCCTGCCCCAAGCAGGGCTTCCTCACTGTGGTGTGGGCATGGAGACCATCTTGGGGAGCCCCCCGGGTCCCCCCTTGTACAGGCCTCTGAGGCCAGAGCCAGGGTGAGAACGACATCTGAGCTGGCTCTGCGCCTAGTTCTAGAGCGGAGTTTGCTCCTGCCAGAGCAGCCGTCCCCCCGAGGCACATCCACGGGGTGCAGCACCAGCAGAGCCTGACGGAAGCCCAGGCCTGTCTGCCTCTCTCCTTTCTCTGCAGGGTCCCCCAGAGACCTGCTGCCTGGGGTCCTGTGGGTGCTCCTGGGGTTCCCGCTCTGTGGCAGGTGCTCCCGGCCCCAGGCCAGGAGCTGCAGGAAGGAGGGGAACCAGGGAGCCGAAGGGGAGAGGGGCTGTGGTCTCAGGTCCTGTGGCCGCCCACCCCTCGGATGCGTGGTTTCAGGCAGACACGCCCCCTCACTTTTGCGTTCATCCCACTGGTCCTCCCTGCGTTGGCCTCGGAGGCATGGGGGTATCTGTTCTTGTCAGGGACATTCTCTCTGTGTGGTAGGATTCCTCGACGAGAAATTTACAGCACAAATTTCCCTTTAAAAATATGGACCTTTCATGCCAGCTACTCTGCCATAATTAACCATAGACAATTCATATTAAAACATGTTACCACCCCAAGAGGCAATGAAATTTCCAGAAGTTCTCTGCTACCCATTCCGTCACTTTTATTGTCACGATTGGATTAGCGGCAAAGGGCACCTTGATTTTTAAAATCATCTTACAATTACGGATGATTCTTTGTAGATCCCATCCGATGAATACTCAAAACCATTTGTTCAACAAATGGAAAAGAGGGACCACTCAGATCAGCTGGGAACATTTCCTGGGAGGGTTTTGTGCATTTAAAAAAAAGAGAGAGAGAGAAGCAATCTGAGGTTCTCTCCCTGCTACAGCTTTATTAGGTTCCCAAATCCAATTTACGGGGGATTGTCTGGGCCCCTGGGCTCCGCTGCCTGACAATGTCCCTGCAGCAATTATCAGCACCTGCATTAGGGCTCAATGGGCCTAAATTGCCAGGGGGCGAGCAGACACCCCACTGACGGCAATTAACATAAAAGGGCGCTACCGTTTAAAGCTGTGGGTGGGAATTACAAAAGGTTAAGCGTCTAAATATAAAAATCTTTTTGAATATAACATCAATGTGCTTTGTTACTAAAATGTGGGTGCTGTAATTTCACCAAAATAGGGTTTAGAAAACCTGGCGATCATCCACGCCCATGAAATCGCCTGTTCTCAACGAAAAGCACATCGTCTGTTCAAAAGTTAAAACAATTCAGCGACTGAACTATTTCATATCAACAAAATAATCGAATACTGACTTTCACAATTACATATTATTGACACGGGGCCTCTGGAAAGAGAAAGCGTTTTCTCTCTTCGTTTTACTTATTTGCGTAATTGGAAACCAAGATTTTAGAGAGTTTACTTTCTTAATTGTGGGTTGGATGGGTGAGGAAAAGGGCCGAGAAGCTGGTCCCCGTGGGGCGAGGGCGAGGGCGAGGGCCGCGAGCTGGAAGGCGCCGGCATCCAGCTCCACGTTCTCAGTGACTGGAGGGGCCGGCGAACGCAGCTGGGGAAATCTGGGGGTACGGCGGGGCAGCAGGCTGGGGACTGTGCTCCACGTGCCTTCCGGTGTTGGCACACGAGCTTAAGAACTTGGAGAAGCATGGATACTTGCTTTTAAGTGTTAAATGCCGCTTTGCTTTGGTTTCCCGCTGCGATGCCTCCCTGTAGGGCAGCTCCAGCCCCTTCCCTCTCTCCTCACCCTGGCACCCAACCTCCTGGTCGCTGAGAAAGGAAACCCTGAAGTACTCAAAGATCTGACCGTGAGGTGGGCAAGGACATCCTGTTGAACTGGCGCATCCTTCCTGTTTGGTTCTTGGAGCGCGGCGGGCGGGGCCGGGGGGGGACAGACGGCAGGGGTGGGGTGGGGTGAGGTGGGCTCTGGGCCCGCACCCAGCACTACCCCCAGGAGCCAAGGCTGCAGGGGAGGCCTGCCAGGTGTTCTGTGATGCCGAGCCCGGCGTGAAGGCTGCTTGGGGAGCAGACCTGGTGGCCAGGCCCCCACCCGGCCCTGCCTTTGCCCACCCCTTCGGTTAGGGAAGGGGACCCCCTGTCCAGGACCAGGGTGGTTGCCCACACTGTTTCTTGACCGTGAGCTGACCCTGAGACAGAGAAGCAGGGCAGGGGCAATGGGGCCGGGGCTCCCTGTGGCCCTCAGCAGCTCCTGATGCTGTGGGACCCCATCTCCCACACTTCCCATCGGTCTGACAGACTAAGCTTCTTCACCTCCAGCCCCAGTTGTACCAGACCCATTGATCTGTGCCTTACAGCCCTGTCGTGGGACAGGGGCATGAGATAGGGGGACATGGTGCTTTCGCGCAGGAGACACTGCCTACAAAGAGATGTAGAGGGAGGGCACCTGCCTTGTCCCTCCCTGGAGATGGCAGGAGGCCCAGGGCCTTGCTCTCGGCTGTGAGCTGAAGGTGGGTTCGCTCCTGTGGCTTCCAGACCCTCAGGCAAGCATGGTTGAATGACACGAAATATCCATTCTCCATTCTCTGGTAACAGAACCTGATCTTGGCTGGCAAATTGTATTTCTTGTCTCCTTGTGGCCTGCTATGGTCACGTAACCAGGTTCTGGCCAACGAGGGGTGAACGACGGGGTGTCCTGGAAGGGACGCTTCTTAGAAGGGACCAGCCGTGCTCCCTCTGCTTCCAGTTCCCACTGCCGGGAATAGGGGCCTGATGACTGGCCCCTGTGCAACCCCCTGGGGCCACGAGGTGGTGCAGGAAGGACCACAGAGGAGAAGAGGCAATGAGAACAGGGATCCCTGGTGATCACGGGGCCATCGCCCCTGCCTCTGAACGTCCACGTGGGCGTGAACATCGGTGGGGTCGAAGCCACCGCTCTGCTGTCAGAAGCAGGCTCCTAGGTGCGCTCGGGAGCATGGACCTGGGGTGGGGGTGCTCCTGGTGAGCAAGAGCGCAGCTGCGGGATGAGGCTTCAGCGGGAGCCGGGCTCCTGCCTGCTTGTGTGGTGGCGCGTGCTCGGTCATGGGAGGGCGTCCAATGGCGCCTGTGACCCAGGGCTGAGCGGGAAACCCTGGGCTTGGAGTCTGTGTGCTGGGAGAACATTTCAGTGGAATCCCTGCTCGGGGACACAGGAAGGGCTTCCAGAGGGACAGTCACCTGGGACATGTTCTGCCCCAATCTATTTTAGGCATGTATCGACTGATCTCTCGGCCTGAAACCCTCCGGGCTGCGGTCTCTGCCCTGCACTTCGGAGGCCTGTCCGTGTGTCCTGGCTGCAGGCTGGGGGCCACCAGTGGGTGCTCCCCAAGACTTTCAAATGCAGCGGCAAGTGCCCATGGCGGCTTCAGCAGGTGCCACCCTCCCCACCCCGAGGCCGGCGCATGTGGCTGTCACCCAGGTAGGCAGACGCAGTAACTCTTGGCTGGAACTCCTGGCTCGCTGCAGGCTTGAACGGGGCTCAGGGGTCCTTGGTGAAGGTCTGGCAGAAGGAAGAGAGGCGGGATCCGGGAGCCATGCGAGAAAGCGCTGCGCCAGGCCAGCAATAAGAGTGAGAACGACACGGTTTACGGTTTGGCTTTGAGAACACAGACGTTCACTCGTCCGAGGGAAAGATTCCTGACTTATGTTCCCCGTGCGCGTGGGGGCTGCCATGGAATGTCACACATTTTGCCGTCTTTTAGGACAAGGGGAAAGAGAACTTACGAGTTAAAGATATCTATCCCCATATAGTCACAGAATAAGCCACTTCATTAAAAAAAAGAGAGAGAGCGAGAGAAAGCCTGCCTGCTTCCCACCCAAGCAGCTCCAGGTCTCCCTGGGGCCGTTTCTGGGTTTTTCTCCCCGGCACGAGGGTCTCGCGCACTGCTGGGCTGCCCCACGGCTGGAGCCTCCTAGACGCCACGCAGCAAGCTCCCTTGGTTAAGCTATCATCATGCGGGTTTTCTCTTGCTTATGGCTGACCCTATCCTACCCGCGGCAGAGCTGACATTTACAACGGCTTCACCCCTCTTGGCAGAAGGCACCAGAGGACAGCGCCGGCCCGCGTGTCCGTGACCCAGAGCAGACCCAGGCTCCCGCCAACACGTCCGGAGGCTCGGGCACCGGCCGGGCGAGGGGTGCTCTGGGGCAGCTGTGGGGACAGGACACTCAGTGTGAATGTCCTCCAGAGCGTTCGGGGGTGGACCGATCCCCATGAGAGGAGCAGAAGCACAGGGGACCCTTCCTGACCCCCGGGCAGGTGTGCAGGTCGCTGGAGTGCCACCCTGTGAGGGGACAGGACGGGCTCACCATGGGGTTGGCAATCTTGGGGGCAGAGGTCGCTTGTCATTTTACAGAAGAGGAGGCCTGCACAGAGAGGCTCAGCCATAAGAGGGCAGAGAAGCAGCAACCCCACGTCTGGCGTCAGCCCCCAGACGCACCTGGCCAAGGACCGGGGGCCTCGGGTTCGGCTGCAGAGCTTCCAACAGGCAGCTGGGATGCCTGCGGAGCTCAAACCTGAGTGCGGAGCGTTCTCACAAAACCAAGGGCATGTTCCCCCTGGTCTCTCCAAAGATAGTTTTCTGCGGCACCACACCCCCATCCTAGCAAAGCTAGAAACATCTCTGAACGTTTTGGCAGCCTGAGAGCAGCCCCGCGAGCATGGGGTGAGGCCCGCTCCCCGAGCGGTGAGCCCCCCAGACCTGCACAGTGGGCCAGGCCCGGGCCGCCTGCACCAAACATCAAGGAGCAGACATGGCCCCGCTTTCCGGGCCTGGTTTCCACGGAGACCTCATTACAGGCTCTGAAATCCCTCCCGGTGGAAGGCGTGGCGCCCAGAGAGTGTTTTTACGCGGAAATATGAGAACTCTTCTGCCCTGCAGTGTAAAATTGCTTCTATAAACTGGGCTGGAAGCAGACGAGGGGTCGTGGCCAGGCCCCCCAGGGCTCCACCCCACGAGCCTCAGGGCCCCCGCCTGCCCCTCCGGCATGGGGCTCCCCGCAGCGAGGGCCCAGGCCCGGGTCTGGCCATGGGCCTTGTCGCAGCACTCCGGGTCCGCCTGTCCTGCTCTGTGACTCTGAAGCACCCGTCTGCGGTGTCCAGGGCTGGGATCCTAACTGCGGGGACGGGCCCCCCTTCAAAGGGCCGAGAAGAGCGTGAAGGCCCCCACAGCTAACGTGCACGTGAATTTGCCCGATGGGGACCCCTGAGCCCTGTTTACTGAGCTTGCCGTGGTCCCCGAGGATCTGGTGCAGCTTCCTGGGGCGGTGGCGGGCACAGGTGACCAGGCGGGACCCCATGGCCATGCTCGGCTGGGCTGCCTCGGGTAATGCAAACGCTCCCCCCAGTAAGATGAAGGCTGTATGATGCATCAGGCTGTGTGGGAGGAGTCACGGCCCCGGACACAGTGAACTGCAGAGAAGAAACTTTGATTTACCTCCTGAGCACTCGGCTTTCCGGGAGTCATTCCGGAATAATCCATGGAAAAGCCAGGCCAGGCACTCCACGGCAGCAGGTTTTCAGGCACCAGGAGCCAAGTGCATGTGGAGATGCTGTGTGCTCTGGGCAGACGTGGAGGCAGCCGGAAAGCCAGGTGAACCCGCATGACCATTAGGGCTGCAAATGGCGGCTGACCTCGGCGGGTGGGGGCCACGAGGCCCGGCTCCTACACTCGGGGGTCCTGGCCAGGCTGACCACAGGCCTCCTGGTAACCGTGGCCTTGGTGGGTTTGCCTCTGGGCCCAGCCCTCGGTCTGACAGATGCAGAAACAACCCTGAGACCATCAGCCCAGGCTGCATTCTCCCACCAGGCTCCTGGAGCACGAACAAACCACCTGACTTTACACTGACGGCGATGACCAGACATGCCCGTGGAGAGTGCAGGACGGCCACTGTGGGGGGGCCCCCGGGACCGCTTGTTCCCCACCGCACTGTGGGCACTGGGTTTGCACCTGAGGGGCCTGGATGCCCAGGACAGGTAGCTCCCAGCCTGCCCCTCAGCCCACAGCCACGGAGACTGGCCCTGCAGAGCAGAGGCCTGCGCAGGCCCGGCAACATCTTCCTGGGATGTCCTGTCTCCTCCAGGGTCACTGTGCCTGGCTTCTCTAGGCTTTATTTTCCTCCTGCCCAGGTTCCGGGGCACCCGCTGTTGCCCCACATGCCCCTAAGCACTCATGCCACCTACCGCCAACCAGTTGGCTAACTCCACTCACCGGGAAGGCCACTGGGCATGTCCCTCTGGCCCCGAGAGGTGTCTGATGGCAGGTCCCCCGTGAGGAGCGGCGGATCTCCGGCACTTTCCAGGGCAGCTCTGGGCTCCAGGCCCCCGGACTTGGGACTCCACAGAGGATAGGCAATGCAGTCAAACCCACTATAAAGGGAATGGGTGGGACTGGGCTTTGCTGGACGCCAAGCGGAGGGTGACACCTGGCTGTGGGGACACGGTGGCCTAGGGGCCCTTCTGGGGAGGAGGAGGAGCTGAGGCAACCCTCTGAGACTAAGAGAGCGGGAAGGAGGGAGGGAAGGAGGAGGAGAGAGTCTTGCTCCGGGACCATGTGAACCCTGCTGCGGCCCCAGTCCTCCCACCCCCGGCTCCCTGCCCGGCCCCCACTGCCTGAAGGTGCCCTTGCTTCTTCTCCACTAGACCAAGCATATCGTGTCTGACGCTCACTGCTGGGTGCCCAGTGCCCTCGGGTTCCTGGCTGGTGTGCGAGTAATGTGGAGACGGGTCTGGGTAGAGCAGTTCTGGGCCATCCCTCCTTGTCCCCCAGGCCACACATCCCTCCTATGTCCTCCAGCGTCGCCCATACTCACAATGGGGTCTGGATGGGTGGCTCTCGGTTGTCCTTGTCCACTTTGAAGAAGCTGACCTCTGAGTAGGCCGGGAGCTGCACATACCTGACGCCGGCTGAGATCTTCAAAACCCGGCCATCCTCGCCTTGGAAAGGAGAGAGGAGCAGGCTGTGCCAAGGAATGGCCCCCAGAACCCAGGTCTCTCCCTCCCTGGTCCTGGCCTTGGCACCTGTGAGGAGCTCACAGGAGCAATGCTGGCCCAGGCCACACCTACATTCAACTTGAGTTCCCTGACCCCCTTCCTGGCCTCCCTGCCCCGACTCTTCCACCCCTCGCTGGGGAGCCTGGGCCTCAGGGTTAGGGTTAAGGCCTAACCTAGCTGTGCCCCTGGGAGGGCCTCTCCTTGTTGGCTGTCCTCAGGGCTTCACCTGCTCAGGGGCATGTGGGCGCCCTGGCCATGAGCAGACACACTGGAGTTTTGTCTCCACCATGATCCTGATTCCAGGGAGACATTGCTGCTTTTTACCCATCTCCCACCTCTGTCCCCCTTGTCTACACTCCCGAGGCACTCAGCACAGGGCCTGGTCATGTGGACTCCAGGTCCAGTGCAGAAGGACAGCCAACAACCACTGAGCAGTATCAGTGAAGGCCCGCTATCCAGCCCCTGTGGAAGAGGAGACATGGCAGGGCAGACACTGCAAACACTCTGACTTGGAAGGAAAGGAGTAGAGAGCCACGGCCCACTGGGGTTTGATCGGCTTCTGCTTCTGGTCACCACAGAGTACCTGGAACCAATTCATGCTCCTACTTGAAGCAACCAAAAAAGCAGACAAACTATAATAATAATACAATGGTTTTCAAGATCCTGGACCTCAGGCAAGGACAGAGGTCCCTGAGAGATGGGGGACAAATGGTGTGGACTCCATAACTGCCCAGGTCACTAGCTTGAAAGAAGGTGGACTGGGTGCAGGGAGAGGGTCTGAGCAAGCCCAGGAGCCTCCTCAGTGAGGAAACAGGGCCGGGAGGCCAGGAGGACAGGCACACAGTAGGAGTCCCGGAGTCCTGAAGGCAGAGGAACAGAGAGGTGAGGGGTCCCTGGGGACAGAGCAGAGCACAGATCAGTGCACGAGTGTGAAGAAATGCCTGGAGGCCAGGCTAAGCACCACATGAGAGGGTGGGAGAGGCCTGGGCTTGCATGGGACTGGGAGTAGTGCTCACTCCCGTTGGCCACACCGGATGCCACGGCACACCGGACAAAGCTCTCAGAAGGTCTTGCTTCAACAATGGAGATAATGGGTCTCAGACGGAGCTCACCTAACACATCATAAAGGCAAAACCTGAAAGGATCAAACTGTCTCTGTGTCAACTGTGCCCCAGAACAAAGTCCAACAAGAGTTACGGGAACACAGAAATACCCAGCCCCCAAATGGTAAAATTCTCAATGTCTGGCACTAATCAAAGATTACCAGGCAAAGAATGCAGAAAAGTATGGTCCATAATGAGGAGCAACCAACTGAAACCAACCCAGAACTGACCCAGATGTGAGAATTAGCAGGAAAGCACACTTTTTCAAAGTTTTTATAACTGTATTCCATGTGTTCAAAACATAAGCAGAGACACAGAAGATATAAAAACAAAGTTGAACTTCTAGAAACAAAAACGATGAGATAAAAAATATACTGTATGTGATCAATGACAGATTAGATATTGCAGAAAAAAAGATTCATGAACTTGAAAACATACCTATAGAAAGTACCCAGAATGAAACACCAAGAGGAAAAAGGAAAAAAAAAAAAAAAAAAAGAAGAAGAAAAATGAAGGTAAAGAGAAAGGAGGAAGGAAGGGGAAAGAGAATCCATGAACAGTGGGGCAACTTCAAGCACCCTAATCCATGGAAAATGGGGCCCCTAAAAGAGGGAAGGAAGAAGTTGTGATGGAAAAACTATTGGAAGAAATAAAGGCTGAAAATCCTCCCATTTTTAAAAGATTTATTTATTTATTAGAGGGGGCGACAGAGAGAGGGAGAGAGCAGGAGGATATGAGCCGGGGGTGGGGGGAGGGGCAGAGGGAGAGGGAAAGAATTCCAAGCAGACTCCTTGCTGAACGCAGAGCCCAACACAGGCTCAATCTCATGATCCTGAGATCATGACCTGAGCTGAAATCAAGAGTTGACGCTTAACCAACTAAGCTACCCAGGCACCACCTTCCTTTTTTAAAAGATTTATTTATTTAGAAAAATTCCCAAACTTGATGAAAACTATAAACCCACAGATCCAAGAAGATCAATAGATCCCAAGCACAAGAAACATGAAGAAAACCACACCATGTCACATCGAAAATAAAACTACTCAAACCAGTGACAAATAGAAAATCTTAAAAGCAGCCACAGAAAAAGCATGTTTGTACAGAGCAAACATGGATAAGGATGACAACAGACTTCTCATCAGAAGCAGTGCAGACAAGAAGACAATGGAGCAGCACTGCTGTACTGCTGGGAGTGAACCAGAATTCTATACTTGGTAAAAATATCTATGAAAAATGAAAGCAAAATCAAGATGTTTCCAGATACATGAATACTGAAAGAATTAATCTCCAGCAAGCATGTAGGACAAAAAATGTTAAAGGTTAAGTCCTTCAGGCAGAAGGAAAATGGTATCAGGTGGAAATCTGTATCTACAGGAAGGAATGGGGAGAACTAGAAATGGGAACTATGGGGGTAAGAGATGGGATTTCCTTTTATACTTGTTAAGTATTCTTTGAAAGATAAATGACTAAACAAAAGTAATAATGTATTATGAAGTGTATTCAATATTTGAATGTCAAACGTATAAAAACAATAGTATAAAGGTTGGAATTGTAGAAAAAGAAGTATGTGCTATTGTAAAGTTCTTATATTATATGTGAAGTAGTGTGGTATCACTCAAAAGCAGACTGCGATAAGTTAAAGATGTATACTGTAAACCTTAAAGCAACCCCTAAAACAAGAAAACAAAGGGCAATAATGAATAAGCCACCAGAGGAGATAGGATGGAATCATAATTAATACTCAATCCACAAAAGGTAGGAATAGAGTTTAAAGAGAAAACAGCAGTGGCAAATAGAAAACAAACAGTGAAATGGTAAGTTTGAAACAGTTATATCAATAATTATATTAAATGTGAATGGTGTAGGGTGCTTGGGTGGCTCAGTCGGTTAAGCATCTGCCTTCAGCTCAGGTCTTTCGATCTCAGGATCCTGGGATGGAGCCCTTGTCTGGCTCCCTGCTCAGTGGGGAGTCTGCTTCTTCCTTCCCCACTTCCCCCTCCCCCACTTGTGTGCTTGCTCTCTCTCTCAAATAAATAAATAAATAAATAAAATTTAAAAAACCCCAAATAAATGTGAATGGTGTAAAAACTTCAATTAAAAGATAGATGTGGTTAGATTGGATGAAAAAGCAAGACCTGACTATATGTTGCCTACAAAAAGCACACTCTAAATACAGACTTAAGTAGATGAAAAGTAAAAGTGTGGATAAAGATACACAATGCTGATATTAGTTAGGAGAAAGCTGGAGTGACTATATTAATATTATAGGAAGTAGTTGCCAGAGCAATGACTACGCCAGGGATGAAAAAGAAAATACTGCAATGATAAGGGGTCAACTAATTAAATGACATAAAAATCTGAGATTTCAATATACCACTGTCAGTAACTGATAGAACAAGCAGATAAAAAATCACCAAGCATATGCTAAACTTGAAGGATGGTATCAATAAAATACACCTGATTGATATTTATAGACTATTCTATCCAACAAAAGCAGAAATCATAATTCTTCTCAAAGTGCACACACAACATTTACCAAAATGGAACAAATTCTATGAAAAAAGTCTCAATACATTTAAAGGGACAGTAGATATACAAAGAGTGACTCCAACCACATGGAATTAAGTTAGAAGTTAATTACAGAAAGATCTCTGGAAAATCTCCAAGTATTTGGAAATGAAACAACACACTTCTAAATAACTCAAGGGTCATCAAAGGAAATCAAAAGGGAAATCAGAAAGCATTTTGAATTGAATGAAAATGAATGCACAACCTAGCAAAATTTCCAGGATGCAGCTAAAGCAGTACTAAGGGGGAAATTTATAGCAATAAACTCTTATATTAGTAAAGAAAGGTCTGAAATAAATGACCTTGGTTTCCATCTTAAAAACTAAAAGAAAAAAAAAAAAGAGAGAGCAAATTAAACCCAAAGTAAGCAGAAGCAAGGAAATAACATCATAATGGGAATTAAAGAAATAGAAAATAGACAATAGAGAAATCAATGGAACCAAAAGTTGATTGTTTATCAATGAAACTGATAACTTGTAGCCAGACTAGTCAGGCAAAACAGAAAGAAGACATCAATAATCCATAGTAGGGGGGCCCCTGGGGGCTCAGTCATTAAGCATCTGCCTTCGGCTCAGGTCATGATCCCGGGGTCCTGGGATTGAGCCCCGCATCGGGCTCCCTGCTCTGCTTCTCCCTCTCACACTCCCCCTGTTTGTGTTCCCTCTATCGCTGTGTCTCTCTCTGTCAAATAAATAAATAAAACCTTTACAAAAAAAAAAAAAAATCCATAGTAGGAACAAAAGAGGTGGTATCAGTGCATTAAAAGGAGAATGAGGGAATATTATGAACAAACTTACGACAATAAATCTGACAATTAGATGAAATGAACAAATATTCCTTCAAAGACAAAAAACACCAAAGTTTACTCAAGAAGTAGATAACCCAAATAACCTTATATCTATTAAAGAAATTGAATTAGTAGGTAGAAGTCTTCCCACAAAGAAACTGCAGGCCTCAATCGCCTTCATATTGAAATCTACCAAATATTTAAGAGAAAATAATACTAATTCAACACGGACTCTTCCAGAAAATTGAAGCATGAGGTCAGCATTACCCTGATAGCAAAACTAGACTAAGACATTATAAAAAAAATTCGGAGTACCTGTCTGGCTTAGTCAGTGGAGCATGTGATTCTTAATCTTGGGGTTATAAGTTTGAGCCTCACATTGGGTACAGAGATAACTTAAAAATGAAAAAAAGAAAAAAAATTCAAGACCAATATCCTTCATGAAAGGACATGCAAAAACTTTAAACAAAATTTTAACAAACAGAATGCCTGGATAATTCAATGGGGGAAATAACAGCCTTTCAACAAATGACACCGGGACAACTGGACATTCACATGCATAAGAATGTAGTTGGACCCCTACCTCACACCACACATGAAGATTAACTCCAAATGGATCATAGTTCTCAGTGTAAGAGCTAAACATATAAAATTCTTAGAAGAAAATATAGGAGTAGATTTTCATGACTCTGAGTTAGGCAGTCTTCTTAGATATGAAACCAACAGCACAAGCAACAAAAGAAGAAAGTAGGCAAATTGCACTTCATCAAAATTCAAACCTTTTGAGTTTAAAGGACACTACCAAGAAACTGCAAGACAATCCACAAAATGGGAAAAAAAAATTTGCAAATCAGATATTTGATAAGGGGACTTATATCCAGAATACATAAAGAGCTCTTAATAACTCACATCAAAAGGCAAGCTACCCATTTTTGAAATTTATTTATTTATTTATTTATTTAAAGGTTTTTATTTATTTATTTATTTATTTATTTATTTATTTATTTATTTGACAGAGAGAGAGAGAGAGACCACAAGTAGGGGGAGGGGCAGAGGGAGAGGGAGAAGCAGTCTTCCTGCCAAGCAAGGAGCCCAACTCAGGGCTTGATCCTAGGACCCTGGATCATGACCTGAGCCAAAGGCAGACGCTTAACTGACTGAGCCACCCAGGTGCCCCAAGTTACCCATTTTTTTTTTAAATGGTCAAGATCTGAATAGATATTTCTCCAAAGAAGACATACAAATTGCCAATAAATACATGAAAAGATGCTCAACATCATTACTTGTAAAAGGAAATGCAAATCAGAAGCACAACAAGATACCATTTCACACCCAGTAGGATGACTAGAACCAAAAAGACTGATGGTAATAAATGCTGGCGAGGATCTCAAGCAGAGACCTTGGTCATTGCCAGTGGGAATGTAAAATATTGCAGACAAATGAAAGAAAACACATCCAGACTGGAAAGTAAGAAGCAAAATTAGATGATTTTCTATATAGAAAAATTCTAAGAAATCCTCAGGAAAACTAGCAGAGCTAGCAAATGAGTTCAGCAAGGTCAAAGGATATAAGATCAATATTTTAAAATCAGTTGTAGTCTAGTAATCTCTGAAATAAAGGTAAGGAAACAATTCCATCCATAATAGTATAAAAAGAATAAATATTACACATTTATTAGTGAACAAATTATAATTAAGTTATAAACTAAATAACTACTGATAAATTATCATTTATTAGTAAGTTTAACAAAAGAAGTGCAAGACTTGCACACTAAACATTACAAAACATTGGCGAGAGAAAGTAAAGATATCAATAAATGGGGAGGTGTCCCATGTTCATGGATGGGAAGATGCAGCGCTGTTAATGGCAGCTCTTCCTGGCCAGAGTCAAAGCAATCCCTAACAAAATCCCAGCAGGCTTTTTTTTTTTGGCAGAAATTGACAAGCTGATCCTAAAAAAATTGTATAAAATATAAAGTTCCCAGAATAGCCAAACCAATTTTGAAAAAGAAAGCAAAATTGAAGGAGTCTCTAATTTCCAAACTTAGGGTGAGGCTCCAATAATCAAGGTGTGGTAGTAGTGCAGGGACAGACACGTGGGTCGACGGAACAAAATCCAGAGTCTGGACACAAACCCTCACTCTTACAGTGAAGTGGTTCTCGATTGAGGTGCTGAGGCAATTCAGTGGGGAGAGGACAGTCTTTTTGGCACGTGGTGCTGGGATGGCTGGACATCCACGTGAGAAAAGATGAATTTAGAACTGCATCTTATCCAGAAAAATTAACTGAAAATGGACTGCAGAAATGCAAGAGCAAAACTTCCAGCAGAAAACAGAATATCTTTGTGTACTTGGGTCGGGCTAATCATTCCTACATACATTACCAAAATTATGATCCATAAAAGAAAAAATTGACAAATCTTTATCAAAATTAAAAACCTTTGCACTTCAGAAGACAGCATTAAGAAACTGACAAGATGAGGGGCGTCTAGGTGGCTCAGTTGGTAAGACGTCCGACTTTTGACTTTGGCTGAGGTCATGATCTCAGAGTTGTAGGATGGAGCCCTAATTCGGGCTCTGCGCTCAGCAGGGAGTCTGCTTGAGATTATCTCTCCCTCTCCCTCTGCCCCTCCCCTGCTCTCTCTCTCTCTCAAATCAATCAATTTTTTAAAAAAAGTTTAAAGAAAATGACAAGATGAGCCACGACTGAAACTATTTGCAAAGATGTATCTGATAAAGGACTAGTATCCAGAATATATAAAGAACTCACACAACTGAAAAACAAGAAGAGTAAACAGCCTAATTTAAAAAAAATGGGCAGCATGGTTGGATAACCATTTGTCTAGAGAAGACACACATGTGGCCAAAAAACACATGAAAAGCTGCTCCACACCACCAGCTGTGAGGGAAGCGCGACTCAGAACTTCAGTGGGACACCGCTTGACCCCCTCAGGACGGCTGCGGATGTGCAGGACGTGGGGAAATCGAGCCCTGTGCCCCTGGCAGGATTGTAAAACGGTGCAGTCACTTTGGGAAACAGTCTGGCCGTTTCTTTGAAAGTTTACACATAAGTCTGCCATGTGACCCAGCAGCTCCCCTCACGGGTGCATAACTGAGACACAGAAAACACAGGCCGCACAAAAACTTGCACCAAACATTCCCAGCTGCCAAAGTGCAAGAACCCAAATGTCCGCCAACAGACGAGCAGGGAAACCAAGCGCAGACGCGGTCACCGAAGCACCAACACGACGCTGGTCAGAGATGCAGAGCCAGAGGCCACGTGTCGTGGGACTCCACTCATACCAAGTGCCCACAGTGGGCACATCTGTGGGAACAGGGCTGCAGGTGGGAAGGAGCGGTCTTTCTCCTGAAAATCTCCTGATTTTGCTGAAAATCAAGGAATCACTTAATACATGAGGATTTCAAGCTATACAAAGGACACCGCAGTAAGGTTGTTAAACCAACTGTGACTGTCTTTGATCCACGCTGCTCATCGTGGCTCCGTCCTCAAAGCTTCTGAACTCAAGTGAACTAATGGACATTAAGAATCCCAGGCATGGGGCGCCTGGGTGGCTCGGTTGGTTGGGCGACTGCCTTCGGCTCGGGTCATGATCCTGGAGTCCCGGGATCGAGTCCCATATCGGGCTCCTTGCTCGGCGGGGGGTCTGCTTCTCCCTCTGACCCTCCCCCCTCTCATGTGCTCTCTCTCTCTCTCATTCTCTCTCTCAAATAAATAAATAAAATCTTCAAAAAAAAAAAAAAAAAAAGAATCCCAGGCATGCGTTTATTACCGGTGGTCCTGCCCCGGCCACCGCACAGTGACCGCCTGGGGGCAGATCGGTGCACTCAGGGTCCTCTGCCCTGCCGCCGGGCCAGAAGGCCCCTCCCCGCACCGGGCACTCTGCTCACGGGTGGGAAGCGCTCTGGGAGGCCAGCTGGTCCACCCTCAGCATCGCCGCCCGGCTCATATGATTCCTCAAAAAGCAGCCAGATGCTACTGGAGATCTGTCTTCCCCTGATAACCCATGGAGGACACAGGAACTCACCCCTTGCCAGGCTGAGGTGCCCCACAGACGCCAGTGGCCCTGAGAAGTCACCCATTGTCCTGTGAGATGTGCGATGGCCGTGGTCACGCGCACACACTCACGATGCATGTGGCTGCCTCCCGCCAGTGGGGGGACTCACATGCCTGCTACAAGGACACCTGGTACCAGAAGCCACATGTGCCATTTCGTCCCTAACCCTAAGAACCTGACACCTGTTTATCTTTCTGAAAATCCAGTCGTCACCCTGGAGATGCTTACTCCTGGCCACTTCCCCATTGTCCTGCTGCAGCTGGACGTTCAACGTGAAGGAAGACCCCTGAGCCACATCCATCACCTCCGGACCCAAAATCACGATCCTCTTGGCTTGTGCTGGGAGAGAGCAGAGCAGAGCACGGTTCGGCACAGGTGAGCGGTGGGCCCAGCGCCTGCTCGAGCCCACGTCCCCGCTGGGGCCCTCCCACGGAACAGCTGTGCTTCCCAGGGCACCGAAGGAGAGGGATGCGCAGTTATCACACACAGGGCTGTAAATCCCCTGCACGAGCCACCGCACACAGAGACCCCGGCAGTCACTAAAATAAGGCTGTGACCCCATCCTGGGGGTCAGCTGTGACTTTTAAGCAACTTCTTGCAGAACTGGTTACTTTAAAGAGACTTCAGAGGTCCACTAAATGCTGAAGGGCTGTGAGTGAGTGGCTTGTCGGCATTGGGGTTCGCACAGAGTGGAATTTCCTGCACATCCGCTAGTTGGTTGGGACTCCGGCCCTGCACTCCTTGCGTCTGTCAGCAGCTCAATGTGTGCTGGATGAGGCGCTGTGGACACCTGCTGGGGAACTGGCCAGGGCGCGTCCATGCACAGGCTGGACCTGCGGGGCATTCTCTGGGGTCTGTGCAGCTGGAGACGGTGTTCTCCGTGTCCGCTTCCCCCTGAATCTCCGACCCCCCCTGAGAGTGATGACCTCTGGCACAGCACAAGGTTCAGGGTGTTGAAAAGCTTAGGACAGGACTTGAGTCTAATCAAGGACGTGCCAGCAGGCGGGAGCACCATAGGCACATGTGCAGGGTGACAGGTGCTTCACAGTGACGGGGGGCCTGGAGAGCCCCGCTCTGTTCTGGGAGGACAACCTGGCACCCAGCAGGGTGAGGCCAGAGCCCGCGTCAGCTGTCCTAGGCTTTTTCCAGCATTTGCTGAGACTCGGTTAGGGGGACGCGAGGACATGGCTTGCCCCCTGCCTGAATCTTTCACACCCAGGGATTCCAACATCCCTAATTTGGGGTGGGCTGGGATCTGAGTCTCTTCCCAAGGTGAAGTTCCTAAGGTGCTCCTGGCGGACCCTGCCTAAGACTGGCCCGATCCCCAGACCCTGGGACCCTGAGAGCGTGACTGAGCCGAAGGTAGACCAGTCACAAGCCCTTTTGAAACCTGACTGGAGTGTGTTTTTCCTAAAGGGGCTGGCGTTTTCGATCTCACTTCACCCCTGACCCCAAACACCTCCGCATTCAGCACCGCCGTGCGAGTGCCCGTGGCCACCTGAGAGAGAACTCAGCAGACCCCAACGTGACCCCACAAGAGGACAGGGGGAGGCAGGGGTGGGAGAGGCACCTACCCACCGGGTGGCCATTGATCCACATCCCGTGGTAGACGGCCCCGGAGCAGTGGGTCATGTTGCCCAGGCCACTGAAGACGTCACTGTGCCACTGCCCCTGTGGAGAGAGCCGTGTGGACGACACTTGAGACAGCAGGGGGAGGCCCGTGGGGTCCCCGCAAGCACCATGCCCCCCTTCCACAGCCCGAGGACCGAGTCTGCTGGAAGACCACCCCCTCGGGGGCTGGGAATCACGTGGTACCGCCCTGCCTCCGAGCGGCTCTGCAATTGAATTGTAAGAAGAGGGTCAGTTGGGGGACAATGGCACATATGTAAATGGCTCAAAAAGGGGCACTTTCAGCACAAAAATCCTTTCAGTAGAGATACTACATTTGTGCGGGGTGGAGGGGCCCCCTGAAAGCCGCAGGGCCCACTGAGGGGACCCTGGAGCCCACGCGGCACGCTCACCCCACCCGCCCGCCCCCAGAGCAGCCTCGCGTTCTGAACCACACGCACAACAGTGTGAGAATAATGTGGGAGAGTGGCAACGGTGTTTTGTGGAAAACTGCAAGGTCCTAATGGTATTTTGAGTGTGAATTACTGCTGTTGGAAGAAAAATCAGCCAGAAGCACGTTTGGTTCTCTGCATTTTTCTGTGGGAGCTAATTGGGCTCCCGCTTCCCCGCCCTGCTCTCCACGCGAGCCGCGCGCCGTGGGCGCCCACGGGTGCTGTGGGAGGCGGCGCAGCGGAGGCCGGCGCCGGGCTCTCCCAGGCCCTTGGGAGGCTGTGGGAACGGCCCCCGAAGGCCGCAGCCCTGCAGGGCTCGGACGCCCCGAACCTGGGGGGTGGCTTGGCGAACAGAGTCCCCGAGCACCAGGGCTGCGGAGCCAGGTCACGTTGAGGGGTGGAGGGAGACCTCCGCGGCCAGACCCCATCACGCGGGCTTCTGGGCAGCATCAGCGGGTGCCTCGGCCCTGCGACCAGGAAGGAGTCACTGCACACGCAAGTCCGTGCTTGGGGGTGACGTGTGCGCCTGTGCTCCCACGCATGTCCGTGTGCGCGCGTGTGTGTATCCATATGCGCGCGCGCGTCCGTGTCTGTGCTTGGGGGTGACGCATGCGCCTGCGTGCCCACGCATGTACGCGTAAGCGCGTCTGTGTATCCATGTGCGCGCGCGCGTCCGTGTCCGTGCTTGGGGGTGCTGTGTGCGCCTGTGCGCCCACGCATGTACGTGTGCGCGCGTGTGTGTATCCGTGCGCGCACGTGCCCATGTCCGTGCTTGGGCGTGATGCATGCACCTGTGCGCCCACGCATGTACGTGTGCGCGCATGTCCGTGTCCATGCTTGGGGGAGACGCATGCGCCTGTGCGCCCACGCATGTACGCGTAAGCGCGTGTGTGTGTCCATGTGCGCGCGCACGTCCGTGTCCGTGCTTGGGGGTGACGCATGCGCCTGTGCGCCCACGCATGTACGCGTAAGCGCGTGTGTGTGTCCATGTGCGCGCACGCGCCCATGTCCGTGGTTGGGGGTGACGCATGCGCCTGCGCGCCCACGCATGTACGTGCGCCCGCGTGTGTGCAGCGGGACAGCGGTGCTCTTTCCCCGGAATGGGCAGAGTGAACTGGGCAGGAGACAGCAGAGCAGGGGAGTCCTGGGCTGGGCTGCTGTCCGTGGGTCAGGGTGGGGACAGCCCTGGGAGGGTTGCCCCAGAGCCACGCGGGCACGTTAAGCCCCAGGCCCCCCACCCCCGTTACTCTGCTTGCTGGGAGGCGGCGGGCGAGGCTTGGAAGTAAAGAAGTCGCTGAAATGGTTTGCTTGCCAGGAAACCCTTCCCTTCACGACACCATCTTCAGACCCAAGAAGTTACCAGTTTCAGCTCAGGCGACAAGACTCACAGCCAAACAAACGCAAACCCCATAGGAGCCGAACCAAACCCACTGTCCCCAACACCCACCCCGCCCTCTACTTAGAAACCACTGGGCTCAGTCCCCAGGCCTGGCATCAAGAGGTGGTACAGCGGGATGTGGTACAGGGGGCCTTGGCCACAGGGAAGGGCTGTGCCTTGCAGAGAACAAAGCCTTCATGTGGGGCCTCTCCCTTGCTCCAGCCGCCCTCCGCCCTCCCAGTGGCAAGAGCAGCGGTCTATGCGCCCACCACGTGCCCTGGGCAAGTCTGCCACCTGCCCTCACATTCTAGTCTTCATTCCTGGGTGTGCAGGTGTGCTGGGTTCTCCCCATCCTGCAGGGATGGCTGTGGGGCCCGTGGAGTCTGGCCACGTCCTCATGTGCTCTCCCAGGTGGGAGGCTGGGATTCAAGATGCTGGAAATCGGCTCCGAGTTCAGTCTGCACGGGGCACGGACGCAGCCCCATGCCTGCACCGTGGCTCCCCACACTCCCTTGCTCGTCTCTCCAAGATGTGGCTCCAGATGCTCCCGCCAGGTGGAGCGAAACCCTGTAGCACTTCCTAGCGGCCATCCCTTCCCCATCCTCGGGGGTGTCTGAGACCCCTGGAGCCCAGAGTCACAGCTCCCACGGATGAATGGACGGACGGATGCTAGTCATAGACACTCCCTGGCTCCCTCAGGACCGCGTGGGGGCTCAGCTCAGGCCGAGAGGCTGTCCAAACCTTGAGATGGCTGCTGGGCGCATTTCCCGCGTCGTAGCCATTGCTGCCGTGAGAACGGCCACCTCTCGTCTCCGCTCTCCCTGCGTCGGCCCAGGCCTCTGCGAAGTGCTGGTGCTGCTCTCAGGAGGAAGGCACAGCCTTGGGTCGGCTGGAGAAGGAGCTGACTGGCGGGTCATCCCACACCCAGAGCTGTCGAGGATGGCCTGTGGGACCGTGGCACCCCTGCACCCACTCTGGGGGCGCACACTGCGCTCACCACCCATTGTGTCTTCCCTGGTCGTTCACAACGGGCGACCTGAACTCGCTGCTGGAACCTCTGGGGGAGCTGGGTATTCACAGCGTTAATGCAGGACTTCCCCAGGACAAATGCGCCCCAGTGTGCAATGTAACTCACCCAGCAGTGCGGAATCTTTTCTAATTAATGTTATAAATCATACCCTTGAAAATTCTGCCCTTTCTCAGCTGACTTGCACCCAAAGCACGAACCAATACTTACAAAAGCATCTCACAGAGGCGGCGGTGGGGTTCCCCACGAGGGGGGGTGGGGGTGTATTCCCCCGGGGCAGGGGCTCCCTCCACTCTCCCTGGCCCTCCCTGCCCACGTGAGGGCTCATGCACGGTAGGTGCGATGCGGGAAGAGGGGGCAGGGGCCTGTGTCCACACCACAAAGGCTGGCGGGACGGGCTTCAGTGTTAGGAAGCGGGCCCAAGGGACTGCGGTGAGGAACGCCTGTCACCCTGCAGTTGCTGGGGCGCCCCCAGGGCCGAGGGGGATGCCGCAGACAGCCTCCGCGGCTGGGCCCACCTCTGAGCATCCACAGCGCCCAGGACAGTTGGGCCGCTGGGATGAGACTCCTTGGGTGCTCTCCCACCACACATGGTGGGGATAAACTGTGAGAAGTATTTGACTCTCTTCTCATTTTAGGGAGCACGTTCTGTTGAGTCTGTTTTTCTTTCTGAGGGAAGGGCTACTGTGCTTCTCCAACTGCGCGCCCCCCCATGCCCCCCAGTGCTCCCTGGCGCACACTGAATGTCCAGCCTGGCACATCGGTCACGTCCTGCCTCCAGCCCTCCCTGGGCGCCAGGGTTTGGCTGGCCACACCAGGAGGGCCCAGGGGACTGACTCCCCAGTGCCTGCCTCGGGCGGTACTCGAATGGCCTCCCCCATCATCGCCAACCTTGGAGCTGGAGCAGGTGACCACTTTGAGGTCACAAGCTTGTAGACCAGCGACGGGTGGTCTGGGGTCAGGTCACATATGTGGATATGGCCCTGGGCCACCTGCCTGGGCCCTGCAACTGCCCAGGGGGCCTGGATCTCCAGCTTGTGGGACAGCCTGCCGGGGTGGCAGTGGGCACACAGGCCGGTGTGTCGGGGGCATGGGTGTGCGCCCCGCTCATCCATCTCCCCAACAACAGCAGGGTCATAGGGTGTCGTGTTTGACCTCACGACCTTGGTCGTAAGTTCCTTGGATTTCAAAGTGCGCACTGTGGCTCTCCATGCTTTTCCATGTCTGTTTCTGATGTCTGATGACATGTGGACCGTGCAGGGAACACGGAGCCTGGCACTGGATCCGCGATGGCTCTGGCAGTCCGGACCCCTCCTCCCGTGCGTGCTCAAACAGACCCAGATGCTCCTACTGTCCTGTGTGCGGTGCACCCCTGCGGTCATGGCCCCACATTCCTGGGCTGTGCAGGGTGGCAATGGGGACATAAAGGCCATTGGCATTCCTGAAGACACACAGGTGAGGACGGTGGAGGCTGGGAGCCGCCAGCAGGTGAAGATGCACATAAGGCCGGCCACCTGCTCTGAGCGGCAAGCAGGTGTACCAACCAGCAGGCCTCCCTCTGGGAAAGCCAACACGAGAAGCCCAGCCAATGTGCACAGAGCGGCGCCCAGGGACGGCCCGGAAGCCAGCAGCTGCTGGGGGGACCACACAGGTAGGGAACGCTGTGCCGTGCAAACACACACCGGGGTTCGCCAACAGCTCGGGTCTGCTTCCATCCGTGGGGGACGTGGCTCGCCTCCACAGCGCAGTATCAGCTCCGGGGCTCCCTCAGGGATTCCGGAACGCTGCCGCTCTCAGAGGGGCTGCCCTGTGCCCGTGGGGGTCACCATGCTGCGGCCACGTTCCCGGGAGGAGCCAGTGAGCCTGCCGCTGCTGGGCACGCCCACCCCCATGTCCCGCAGAGGTGGAGGCAGCACGGAAGGTCCTGCGGGTGCAAGCCGGGAGCCCGGGGGTGACCCGCACAGAACCATCACGGGGTAGGCAGGGCAGGAGATGCCCTTGCCAAGATTTGCCAGTTACAACCACCGGCCCCAATCCTGACCACGTGGCTCCTCTCACGACAGAGGGAGAAGCAGTTCTGGCTTTGGGATATGTTGTTTTACGTCCTGACAGAAGATGCTAGAACATTATTTTCAGGAGTGGATTTTTCCTGGGGCTCATTACAAGGGTCTGCATTAGGGGATACTGGTGACGAGGCAGCGGGGATCATGAGGCAAAGGCATGCCTGCGCTGGGTGGGAGAGCTGGCCGTGTGGGGGAGTCCCCGCCCCCTGCTCCACGTGGCCCTGAGCACAGCTCTGCAGTTATGCACCCCTCCTGGAACTTCTCCTTCTCTGGGTCTGGCAGGTTCTCTGTCAGACTCGGCTGATATGGGACATGGTCAAGGGAGAGCTCGGCCACTATCGTCTAATCTTTGAGGAAATAAAATTACCTTAAAAATAAAAATCAGAAGCTGGTAGGTCTGTGGTGAGGGGGGCCCAGGGCAGCTTTCTGGGCAGCTTGAGGTTGAAGAGGGTGGGGGTCCGAGGGTGCCTGGGGCCTCACGTGGGGGCCGACACTTCCTGGGTTAGAAAGCAGGAGGTGGAGGAATCCTGCCACACCTGCTGGAACGGGACAGTCCACCCGTGCCGGCTGCGGGGGATGGAGCCTGTGCTCCCCGGGTGACAGCAGCCGTCAACGCCTGCGGTCCAGCCAAGGGACACGCTGGGAAGGAGGGTGAGGCCGGGCAGAGGAGCCCAGCCAAGGATGGAGGGATGCCACATCCCCCCGAGGGCGGCAGCGGCCGGCGCTGGGTTGTGGACGGCGCCAGAACACGTGGGGATGGCTGTCTTCAGGAGGAGGAAAGGACAAGGACAGGCGAGGGTGTGGACGGATTGGAACCCACGCGCGGCTGCTGGGAAAGTGACATGTGGCAGCCCCTGTGGGAACCGTGTGGGGTTCCGCAGAAGTAAGTGGGAGCCACCACGGGGTCCAGAAGCTCCTCTTCTGGGTGTACACCCCGAGGACCTGGACGCAGGGGCTGAGAGAGCTGTGTGCTCCCCCACGTTCACGGCAGCATCGCTCACAGAGCCAAGCGGTGGAGGCAGCCCAGGGGTCCATCGGTGGATGGACGGACGCGCAGAATGGGGTCCCTCCACGCGATGGACTATTATCCAGCCTTAGAAAGGAAGGAGCGTGGACGGAGCTCGAGGACTTCGTGCTCAGTGAAATAAGCCAGTCCCCAAAGGACAGGTCCCGTAGGACTCCCCGTACACACGGTACCTGCGGGAGTTAGATCTGCGGGGACAGAAAGTGGCGGGGTGGGCACCAGGGGCGGGAGGGCTAGTGTTTCCTGGGGGCAGAGCGTCAGTGTGGGAAGACGGAAGGTTCCGGAGACGGACGGCGGGGACGGGAGCCCCACAGTGTGAATGTGCTTCCCGCCCCTGAGCCGTACACTTAGCGGTTACAACCAGGCATTTTACGTTAGGCGTATTTTACGATATGTAGGGACGTGTTTTAAAAGAAGTCCGACTGTTTGCCCGGTGAGAGCCCAGGGAACGGCCGCGCCCTCACGGGAGACGCGCCTTGGGGTAGCGCCCAGCTCCGTCCCACCGCGTCCCGTCCCCGGGTGACTCTTGAGAACCGGAGGTCGGAGGTCAGGCGTGAGGTGTCCCTGCAACACGGAGAGGCCTGAGCCTTCCCCATCAGCCAGGCCTGGCGACAGAGCGCGAGCCAAGTCTCCCTGGCGGCTCCGGAAGGCGTGCTGGCGGCGGCGAGCGCGTGGGCCGTGTCCGAGGCCACCGTGTGGCTGCAGCCGGACCCCACTGCCCTCCTGGGCGCAGCCCTTCTCCACACGCCCTGTCTGCATGGCCACCTGGAAGCCGGTTTAAAAAGTGGCTGGAGGGCAGGGGAAGCCGTGAGGGACCCCTGCGCCCGCCCTCCCTCCGGGACCTGGGTGCCCCTCGGCCGTCCCGTCGGCACCCGGGCTGTGGGTGAGGTGGCTGCTCGCGTCCCTTCCAGCACGTGCGGCTGGGGGCTGCCCACACAGACACCGCGAGCACGGCCGAGGACGGGGTCCCAGCAGTGCTCAGAGCTGCAGGGAGCAGGCCGGTTGTCTGAGGTCCTTGGGCACGAGGCTGAGGAAGGTTGGGAGGTGCCAAGCAAACGGAAATGCAGGCGGACATGAGTCTGCATCCTGGGGAAGACGCAGCTGGAGGACCAGGCTTCCATGTTCACTCATGTGGGAGGTGCCCCACGTTGAGGACACGCCACCTCCCTTGAGGACGTGTGGGGGTCCTGAGATCTGCAGGCTGGGACGGCGCGGCCCGTGACACTGAGGGGTGACCGTCCAGGAGAAGGCCTCCTCACTTGGTGAGGAAGCAGCTTAGCCATCGGGAGCTGCAGCCGGGGTGGTTTGGTCTGAAATCAGGCTCCGGCGGTCAAGTTGGAGGAAAATGTCTCCCAAGCGCAAGAAGCCCCTGTAAGGCCTGGCCGGCCGAACTGCTGGCGGGGCTGGGCTGCCCCCTGGTGGAGCGCTGCGCAGGCGATGGGTGCCCGGGTCAGCCTGGGGTGTGGAGGGCCACTGCCCTAGTCCCGTCCCCTCCTGGCTGAGTCATGACTCGCAGGGGAGGCCTGAGCGGGGGGCCCAGGGGGCAGCCACAGCACTGAGGCCCGGCAGGCGGCCGAAGGGCCGAGGGCCAGAAAAGCCTCCAGGAACAGGGCAGTGCCGGGGGCCCCAAAGAAGCGGATGCTCCCTCCGCCAGTCCTGTCCAGCCATGAGGGGACCCACCTGGGTTGGAGGCCATGCCATCTGCCCCCAAATCTCACTCGGGCTCCAGGCCGGAACTCCCTGCCCCTCCTCTGGGCCTGTGGCCTCACCCATGAAGGGGGGAGAAGGGCTGAGGCCAGAGGCCGGTGCTTGGGGCGCGAACGATTCTGCTGCCACGTGCTGGGAACCTGTCCGCGTCCACCGCAGCCCTCGAGGTGTGCTTGTGCACGTTTGTGGGGACGACTCCAGGCGTGGCGCGGATGGGCGGGGGCAGGGGGACACCTGCCCTCCGTGTCTCTCTCCCACTGCAGCTCTGGAGAACCGAGGCCAGGCTGTCTGCGGTGCCTGTGCTGGGCCCTTCGGGCGGGTCCGTGAGGACAGACGGCCCCTCGTGCAGAAGCAGCAGGCCAGCAGCAACATGGACGTGCACGGGGCACACTGGCCCCTGCCGCCTGTCCTGAGGCCGGGGTGCGCTCTCACCCAGGCCGAGCTTGTCTGATGAGCAGGCTAGGCTGCCGTGGGGGGCTGCATGGGCCAGGCCAGGATGCCAGCCGCCCCCCTCCGGCGCCCCGCCCGCCATCAGTTATCACCTCTCAGCCCCAAAGCCACTCTCCCTGGCCGGCTCTGGGCTGCCGGAGCTGGACCTCTCGCCATCTCTCCTGGCCGCCGGACGTGCGGCTCGTCGGCAGCAGGCCCTGCGTGAACGGCCGCGTGCAGCTGGGCCTGGGCTCCCGCGGCTCCAGATTCCGTGGGCGCATCGTAGCCACTGTGGTGAAGTCACGGCACACCATGCGCCTCCCTTCCCAAGGCGCCCGGCTGTGCAGGGGGGCCCCAGGTCCATCTTTGGGGCGTCTGCGGGGCCACCAGTGCGTTTGCTGTTGCCGTTTCTGCTTTTACCCCTTCCAGCACTTCACGGCCCTGCACTGGCTAGCCAGCTACCTATTTCCACGGTAACGTGCTGGCCCGGTTCCTGTCTCCCGACGAGATCCTGCTTCGGGCACCGCCGCCCTCCGGTGCTCGGTCCCAAACCCAGGAGTCATCCTTGCTTCTCCTCTTGCCTTCGCCTCGACATCCAACCTGCCAGCAAGGCTGGTGTCTTCACCTCCAAACCACCCCAAGGCTGTTCTCTGTGCCCTCCCCTCTCCTGATGGCAGAGTGCCCCCTGGACAAGAACCGGAGGGACTTTTCAAACACAGAGATCAGACCACCGCTTCCTTCCAGTGCTTCCGGCGACCCTTACAATCACACTCCGGCCCGCTGAGGCTCAGGGTCTCCGCGGGCCCCTCCCGGACCTCCCGCCCGGCTGCGCCCTTGCTCCTCCTGCTGCTGGTAGCGCCCTGCCCTTGCTCTTCGGTGGCCGCGGCGGCTCGTCATCATTTAGGCCTCAGCTCACAGAACGACCCAGGACAGACGGCCAGGCTCTTGGCCCCCCAGCTGCCTGCAGGGCCGACGGGGCTACTTGTCACTCCAGCCACCGGCTGTGGCTTGCCCTTCCTGAGACGCACATCTCTGGCTCCTGCTGCGATTGCTCCCGGCTGGGCACGTGGCCAGTGTCCAGTAAGAAAGATGGATGATGGATTCTGGGGTCCCAATGAGGTCTTCGGATCTGCCTAGTCTCCCTCACGCTTTGTAGCACCTGACCACCCCCAACCCCAGTCAGACCCGAGGGGTACGGCCTGTAGCAACAAGGAGGGGGGAGCGTCCTCTCCCATGTTATCGAGGTGGGCGTTTCTCATCAAAAACGCTTCACCGGCCCTGAGGGCATCCTCAAGGGACTGAGAAATGTCACCCGTTTGCACAGGTGACCCTGCACGTGGCATCTCAGGAGCCAGACAGGAAAGGTGTTAGCCGGGGCCCTTCCCCTTCCCTCGCTTCCTCATCAGCCGAGAGGGGCGGCCGCCCTCCCTGCCCCTCGGGGTGGAGGGGCAGCACTGAGGTGCCCCATGAGGACGCCCGGGCGACACAGGTGCCCAGCGGGGCCCCCGAGAGCCTGGGGTCCTGCCACATCTCCAGGTACCTCGTAGGTGGAGCTGTCGGCTCGGCACAGCACCCCGTGCCCCTGACGCTGGTCCCGGACCCAGTCGCCTTCGTACTTGTCACCGTTCCTGGGGACACAAACACGGGGCAGCTCTCAGACCGGGGAGAGCCAGGTGGTGGTGCTGACTCAGAGCCGCTCCTCTGACCGGGGCTCAGCACGCGCCACCGGGACTGAGGCAAAAATAGGCCCCGAGCAGATGGCGCGAGCTCCTGCCTTGCCAGGGCCTGCTGCGGGGGGCAGGGGGCCTGGCGCTTGGCGGGGGGTGATGGCAGCGGCCCGCGGCCCCCGCTTGCCCGGTCCCCAGCTGGGTGAGACTTGGAGAAAAGTCAGTGTGAACCTACACGTGGCCATGGCGGCGTTGTGCACGAGCCACGGATGGAAAGGCAGGCCCACCACGTCCTGTGGCGCCGAGAAAGCCCCTGCCCGCCACCCCCTTGCCGCCCAAGCCTCTGGGAGGTGTTCGCCAGGGGGAGTCAAAGTTCTCTCTACTAAACATGCTGCTAAGCAGTGTCGGTAACTAAAGCACCGAATCCCAAGTGTTGCCGATGTGCCAGAGGCCAGGGTGGCCTGGGGGACTGGGGGGTGGTGCACTCACCGGAAGACCATGTGCCCCCGGCCGTGCCTCTTGTTCTCATGGAACGACCCCCAGTAGGCCTGCCCGTCCTGGTCCACCAGGTGCCCATGTCCTAGGGAGGGAGCCCAGGGCAGTGAGCGTCACTTCCTGCCTCCTGTCGGGGGAACCTTGCTTCCACCCCCCCAGAGGGCGGCGGTAGATTCAGAAGAAAGCTGGGGTCAGAATGGCTCCAGGAACCGGGCCGCCCTCCCAGGCCAGGGGTGCCCAGGTGAGACACGGCAGCTGTGATTTGGGGCGGCACCAGTGACCACCACGCCAATGACAGCGGTTCTGGGGTCCAGCTCTCAAAGGTGCTGAGTGAGAGCAGGAGGGGTGCCCCTTAAGGTCCCCCAGGCCCCAGCATTTGAGGCTGGAGTGCCTTGCTGTTGGCTGGGACCACCCCACAGCTCTGCCATCGTGTCAGTCCATGGGAAACTGCACCTCACAGACAACGGCAGTGCTGGGCCTCCTATGGCCGATTCAAAGGCCCTGGGTCTAAAGGCCAGAGCACAGGGGCGCCTGGGGGGCTCAGTCGGTGGAAGGTCCGACTCTTGGTTTCAGCTCAGCTCATGATCTTAGCATCATGAGATTGAGCCCTGCGTCAGGCTCCGTGCTGGGCGGGGAGTCTGTTTGAGATTCTTTCCCTTTCCCTCTCCCTCCACTCCTCCCCTGCTGGCATGCCCTCTCCAAAATAAATAAATCCTAAAAAAAAAAAAAAAAAGAAAGAAAACAAAGGCCAGAGGACACACTCATGAGGACAGGGCTTCATTGCATGGTTTGGGACAGCTTGGAAGTGCACGCGCATCTTCCGATGTGAACGGACCCTGGAAAGGCACTGTCGGACCTTGTGGATGCATGGCTTGCTTCTGGAGGCTGGTCTTCCAGAACAGTGAGCACTTCTGTCTTCGGGCGCCAGGGATGCACACCCCCTCCCCCCCCCGGGCAGAGTCTGCTTCCCCACAAGTGTGTCCTCCTGACTCGCTTTGTTCAGCAGCATGTCCTCAGAGAACCCCCAGCTTCTTGCCCCCCCAGGAACCCTGAGGCTCTGGGCCAGGGCCCAGAAACCACCAGCCCTGCCTGAGCTGCTGCGATCACCATCGTAGGGGTGACCCCATGTGAGGCCAAAAGCATTGCCCAGCCAAGCCGGGGACAGACTGCTGACCCCCAGGTTTGTGGGTGAATAATTAAATGGCAGTTTTTTGAGCTGCCAGATTTTAACCACAGCAGTGAACTGATGCAGGACCTACGGTCTCAGCCCCAGCAAGCAGGGTCCCTGGGCCATGGCCCCCACACGGAGCTGCAGCAGATGTGGTGCTGGGGGCAGAGAGAAGAGCACCTCCAGTACGGCCGGGTGGACATCAGGGCCCCTGAGTTAGATCTTGGGGAGGGGTGCTGGGGCCCAGGGCTCCCCACAAAGCGCCCTGCCACACTCAGCAAGCTCCTGTGGGTATCAGACCTTCTCTCAGGCCGTGGGAGAACTCCCCTTCATAACGTCCGCCAGCTTTGTACTTCATGATGCCGTGTCCTTGAGGCTCTCCCAAAACAAACTGTCCAGAATAGGTGTTCCCTGGTGCAGATGAGGAGAGGGGCACACCCAGGGTTAGAGCTGTTCCTGAGTCCCCTGTGGGTTGACAGTCACACCCCTCCCACCCCTGATCAATGGTGGCAGCAAGTATCATTTCAGAACACGTGAGGGGGTCTCTTTATCTCCCGTTCACCTTGGCTAATGAGAAAATAGGATTAGGTGGGTTTGGTCCTGCCCTCCTGGTTACTGTACAGCCCCCGCTCATAGCAGGTGGATGCAGATCCCCGTCCTATGACGACCCTCTCTGCAGCATCCAGGTGCCCAAGGGCAAAGGCCTCTCTGGGTCAGAATCTGTGCGGGTGGGGCTTCTCTCAGCGGAGAACAGCCACCACGCTTGCCTGGGAAGGTCTGTGAGTGGTTGCCCCCGCCCTCGGCCGGCGTGCTGCTAATGCGGGGGAATGTGATGGAAACCAGAGACCCACGCTTCACAGAAGGAGGTGCCTTCTGCATCCGGAAGCCAGGAACAACTTACACCAGAGATAGTTTACGAGAAAGGAGTCAGCACACCCGCACCTGTCTCCACTGCTAACCTGATGAGGCCCAGAGCCGGCAGCCTTTTCCCGTGATCTCCCCGTCCACAAACTCGCCTTCGTAATAACTCCCATCTTTAAACAGCAGCTTCCCCTGGCCTGGGGAAAGAAATCACGATGTGAAGTCAGACCAAAGTCGGAGAAACCCCTGCTGCCCATGCGCGGCTGGACTCGTTTCTCCGCGGGAAGAGCTGGGCTTTGAAGCTCTCAGGCCTGTGTTCGGCTCTGCTTCTTGTCCTAAGCCTGCTCTCTGCAAACTCACCCACACACGTTTCTCGATAAAAACGTTCTTGAAACATGACTAAGGCCTGCTGTCTGGGCTGGGATGACAGCAGAGCTACCCCAACCTCTTCGGAGGAGACACTCCAGTCACCTGGCCTCCATCAGCACCGGGGCCGGAAGAAACGGAGTCTGTGGACACAGGGCAGCACTCAAGGAAACATTTAAAAAGGGAGGACCACTCTGTCCAGGCCAGGCTCTGGCAGGGTTCTCAGACGTAAGCCTCCATGCCAGGCCCAGAGGAAGAGAAGCAGAGATTTCGGACAAAAGCGAAAAATGTCTGTGTGGCAACGACACAAGTCAAAAGCTTAAAAACACAGAAAAATACTGGCAGCCAGCAGCCACAAAAACAGCTCATATAAGAAAATGCTGAAAGACCAATTCTCTAGGAGAAAAATAGGCAGAGGATGTGAGCAGGCAGAACCCCCAAACAGACATAAGACTGTGTGAGCGTAAACATGGGCAAGTCTGGGCCCACCCCTGGGGAGGACTCCAGCGACTCACACTCGGTACTTTCTTTCTTTTAAGGCTGAGACTTTCTACAAAAGTACGTAATCTCTCTCTTTTAAGTTTTTTTTGTTTTGTTTTGTTTAAGTTCAGTTTAGGTAACATACGCTGTATTATTCGTTATCAGGGTAGGATTTAATGATTCATTAGTTGCATATAATAGCCAGTGCTCATCACATCACGTGCCCTCCTCAATGCCCATCCCCCAGTTACCCCATGCCCCCACCCATCTCCCCTCCAGCAACCCTCAGTTTGTTTCCTAGAGTTCAGCGTCTCTTACGGTTTGCCTCCCTGTTTTTCTGTTATTTTACTTTTCCCTCCCTTCCCCTATGTTCATCTGTTTTGTTTCTTAAATTCCACGTATGAGTGAAATCATACGGTATTTGTTTTTCTCAGACTGACTTATTTCGCTCAGCATGATACCCTCTAGTTCCATCCACGTGGTTGCAGATGGCAAGATTTCATTTTTTTGATGGCTGAGAGGTATTCCATTATATACAGACCACGTCTTCTCTGTCCGTTCATCTGGGGATGGACATCTGGGCTCTTTCCATAGTTTGGCCATTGTGGACATTGCTGCTGTAAGGACTGGGGTGCAGATGCCCCCGCGGATCATTACGTTTGTATCCTCTGGATAAATACAAAGGTGGGTAATCTCCTACTCATCAAAAATAGACCATAAAGGCAATTTTCCCTTTGGCAAAGACAGACTAACACGCCAGGGAGGATTTCTAAGTTGGGGCTTCCCCTGCCCAGGATGCGCCAGCGCCTGAGAGAAGGCTGCTAGCCGGGGGGTCTCCCAGGGCCCCCGGCATGTCTTGTCTGGCGAACTCTGAAGATCGCTGCAGGGAGTGGCCTTTCCTGGGCACTAGTGAGAGGGAGTGTGGGGACCCAGGGCTGGTGGCTCCCAGGGCCACCTGCCGGCCCCGGCTCCCCGAGGACGTGGCTGTCGGCGCGGGGGGCAGCCGTGGGAACAGGCCACGATTTCTCACCGTGTTTCTTCCCTCCTTTCCATTCTCCTTCATATCGAAAGAAAGCATTCGGGTACACATAGACACCGTAACCTGAACGTCGGGAAGAGAGCGACGGGTGAGCGGGTGGTGCCACGGGTGACCGGCCGACGGATGGGGCGGCTCTCTGGGCCCTGAGGGCGCGGGGCGGCATGCGCGAGCGCAGGGCCCCGAGAGGCCGCGGCCCGCGGAGGGGCGACGGTTGCCGGGGGCGGGGCGGGGGCGCCAGCCCTGCCGTTTCCTGCAGGAATTCCCCAGCGGCGTCTCGCCCCCGCGGGACAAAATCCACGCTCACAGCCGGGGGCGGCAGGGTCCCCTCCGCCCCCGCCCGCCCCCGCCGGGCGACGTGGGAGGCGTGGGCGTCGCCAGACTCCCGCATCTGCCGCAGAGCAGCTCGGGCCCTGCCCGAACACGGTTCTTCGGGTCTGCGAGCCGCGCCCGCCCAGCCTCCGAACGGCGCCTCCCGGCTCGCTGCCCAGGAGCCGGCGGGCGCCGCCGCCCCGGGCTCGGACCCCGCCCGCCCGCGGGGGCGCCCCCCTCCCAGGGTCGGGGCGCCGGGGCTTCCCGGGGGCTGCCGGCTGCGCTTGGGGCCGAGAGCGCGCGGCGACCGCCCCCCCCATCGCGGACGGAGACCCGGCCCCGGCCTGCAGCCATTACCGTCCCGTGGCGGCCGGCTCGGTGGGTCCCGCAGCGGCGGGCCGGAGCTCGGGCTCCCTCCGCCCGCGGCTGCCATCTTGCCGCTGGGGGTTTCCTCAGCAACCGCAAAGCTCTCCTCCATTGGCCCACGGGCCAGTCCCTGGGCGATAGCAATCTCTGGGGTGGATCGTGCCGGCCCGGAGCCCGTAGACGCAAGTACACATGCGCAGCACGGCGCGCTTCCGCCGCTGACGTCCCTTCCGCCGAGGGGACTGCCCTGCCCACTGCCTGGGCACCCTGCACCGGAAGAGGAAATGGTTGGAGGCTCTCGGCTCCGCCCCGGCGGCCATCTTGGAGGCTCCGGAGGCGGTGCCGCGCAGGACGGAGCGGAAGTGCTCGGCTGGCCCTGCCCGGACCGTGCGAAGCGCCGGCGCGGACGCCTGCCCGCGTCCTCCTTCCCGCGGCCCTCGGAGACCGCGCTCGGCCGCAGGGAGCGGCGAGGTGCCGGCGGGCGGCGGGGGTCCGGGCGGGCGGGGCCAGGCGCGGGGCGGGCCCCGGGCGGGCGGGGCGGCGGGCTGGGCCGGGCGGGGGCTGGGGTCGCGCCGGGGCCGCCCCCACCCGCACGCGCGGGCGCGGCCCGGGAGGGTTGGCTGCCCGCCCCCGGCTCGTGCGCTGACGTTCGCTCTTCCTGGTCGGGCCCGCCCTCGGTGCGTGGCTCGTCTGTAGGGTTTGGGTGGCAGACCGTCGAGACGAAGAGTGGGGTTGCTCAAGGTGATCTCTGCAAATGCCGCGATTTACGGTCGCAAAAGCCAAGTTCTCCAGGTCGACTTCGCGTCCGAGCGTGCCCCCGCGCCGGGGATCGCACAGCCCACGGCCGCCCTCGCCCGTGAACCTTCCTCGGGGCTCCGCTCCCTCGCGTCCTCAGAGTCGAGGCGGCCCGGGAGTCCTGAAGTTTCCCCGAAACTCGTTCTTCTCAGTGGGGTTCATCTTTCACTTCGCGGGGATGGGATCCCCGTGAGCGAGCAGGGTCCTCGGTGATTGAGAGCCAGCTCCTGTAGAGCGCAGGAGGTGACCTCGGCCAGGCGCGCTGCGGTCAGGGCCAGGTGGAGACTCCGGGATGGTCATGCCCACGGCGGGAGGAGCCCTGGACGGGGCGGGCGGTGCTGCTAAGAATGAGTAGGTGCCGCTGGAAGGGCATTTCCGCGGGGGGGACGGCACCAGAGCTTGCAGGTGGCACTGCCCTGCACCGGACCTAGGAGGAACGAGGGAGGAGGAGCGAAGCGTGGGTGATCCGGCTGCCTGGCAGAGGGTTATAATCCTTTAAATGCCGTGCTTGCTATTTGAGTAGTGCAGACCCTGGGGCACGTGGGGCCCCAGGACTAGGCACGTAGAGAGTTTTGTGCACAGTTTCAGGCAGGACACTCACGGTCTACTTGGGATGGTTTTATTTTGCTTTTTACTCTCTTTTTGGTGCGTGTGTGCCTGAGCATAAAACAGTTGAATCCGGCAGGTAATTTGCTGATTGCCCGCCGTATAACGGGCCTTTTTAGGTGGCAGGGCGCAGGAGTGGCCCAGACAAGGTTCCCCCTGAAGAGGCTTGTATTCTAATAGGAGGAAATAGAGAAACAGGATGAAAATAAGGAAATGATTGTTACATGAAATGAAAACAGGGTGATGTGACTTAGGGATTGTTGATGGGGCGGGCCTTTGTGCAGAGGTGGCCTTCCAACTGAGCAGAGGGAAGGGGATCGGAGACGGGCTGGTGCGAGGCAGGGCCAGCACATCTGAGAGGCCAGCATGCTCCCTCGGTGCCAGGCTCTGAGGCTCACACAGCTGACACCCCGAGAGAAGCCTTTGAGGAGGGCGCATTTGCTGTCACCCCGTTTCGCAGATTGGAATGAGGGGTCACTCGGGCCGTCCTGCTAGAAAGTGACCGAACTGGACTTTAGAAGGAGACTGCTTGACTCCAGAGTTCCCTTGCTTCATGTTGCTGTGACAGTCTCCTCGAGACGTGGAGAGCCACATAACGATGGATGTGTTGCTTGTCAGACAATCAGAGGCTGGCTGACGTGTTTGGAATAATTTCTGCACATTCATCTGAAAGAAGCAGACATCTCTAGCTAGAGTGCATGCTTCCAGGGCATGTTCTAATACTGCTTTTCCTGCCTCAGTTCAAGTAAAGGGTTTTATGGGTAAACACTTGGTCATAAATAAGTAAAAGAAGAGAAAATTTGTGAGGATCCACAGGTTAAGGAGTATTACTGACGTAGCTTTCTGCTGGCCTGGCTTTGGCCTAAACAGGGAAGCCAGCCATCCTAGGAATGAGTTTTAATTTAGGCCCTCTTAAAATACGGGATTTTCTCACTTGAGTGTAAAAATACACCTCCTGAAGAGATGGGGCCCCGGGGGCCATAATTCATCGGCTTAGTTCAGTCATTTATCTGTACTTCCTGTGTCTCTCGTGAGGGCAAAGAGCATTTCCCCATCACCTCCTTGACACTCCTGGCCCTCTGCCCATCCTTACGACACTTACGGAATCACAGTTAAACCTGTAACGCAGACTTGTTGCTGGGGGGGGCTGGTCAGGAGGTCTTAATATCTCAGCTGTAATTGAAAGTTTTCCACTTGAGGTCTAGGGTCACATGAGGCTGCTGACTTCATCTCAAAAAGAGGATGTTCTGAGCACTCACCGTGAGGATGTGATTAAGAAGCATGGCGCGGGCAGGTGTGGGTTCGGCTTGTAGCCCTGTGTGAGCAGGCTGGCCGGGGGGGCCCCTGTAGCCGTTGTGAGCCTCGCTCTCCTGTGTGCATGTGAAGGGCTGCTGTGTCCGTGAGTGCCACTGGCCAGATGAGGAGGCCAAGGCTGTGCTGCCATACAGCTCAGGGGCCTTGGACACCGGCCTGGAGCCACAGTCTGTGTCTGCTTCCATGCCCCAACCCTGCCGTGGTACCCATTGGGGCAGGTGCTGCGCACAGGTTTGGGGGGCAGCGGTGAGCTTTCCCTGGGCGTCTTCACCAGCACCTCAGTCATCTGGTTTGGCTGGCAGTGTGCTCGGATAGAGAGGCTGAGGTCTGGCAGAGCAGCTCCTGACCTTGGGCAAGTGGCTTAAACTATTTGAGGCTCGATCGTCCTTAGTAAGATAGGGGTGATTAAGCTCACTTGGTTATCTGGGTTCTCATCAGTTAATTCCTCATGGAATCCACAACAGCATGTTGAAATAGGAGCAGATACAATCAATTCCACTTACAGATGACGAACAAGGGCACAGACGGCTCCCTCGCTGGGAATTGGATGGCATTTTCCTGTTTGTGGAGTGGAGGACCAGGCCCTGAGAGGACCAGGACTTGCACAGCTGGCTGCTGGTGCCCTGGGGAACAGCCTGGACAGAGCCTGGGCCTGGAGAAAGGGGTTACCGGGGGGCGGGGGGGAACCCTAGGAATAGACCGGAGGAGGGAGACCGGGTGCAGTGGCCTGTGGTGTGGACCAGCCCCAGGGAAAGTGTGTCCACAGGACTCCATGGTCAGCAAGGGCAGCTCCTGAGGACCAGCGGGAGGAGTGCGGGCCAGGTGACGTTAGCAGAAACAGAAGTCCACCCAGTGCTGCTTTGCATGTCACGTACCATTCTGGCTGTCCACCGGAGTCTCTTGCTTGTTTCTTTCTTTTTTTTTTTTTTAAGATTTTATTTATCTTAGAGCACGCACGCGTGGTGAGTTGAGGGCAGAAGGAGAGGGAGAGAGAATCTCAAGTAGACTCCCTGCTGAGTGCAGAGCCTGATGTGGGGCTCCATCTCACCACCCTGAGATCATGACCTTAGCCAAAATCACAAGGCGACGCTTAACCGACTGAGCCATGTAGGCGCCCCTCTTGCTTGTTTCTTTTCCCTGGTCACCTCCTGGCAAAGACACCCAGAAAGAAGAAGTGAATACTGAAGAAATTTGCTTGATCGTGTTGGTGGAAATGGGGCAAAGTGATGAGATTCTTGAACATTTTTATTTAAAGTATTTTGTATGTTTCTCAGTTACAGAATGTCCGAAGGTGACAGTGTTGGAGATTCTGTCCATGGGAAACCTTCTGTGGTGTACAGATTTTTCACAAGACTTGGACAGGTTGGTTTTTTTGTGTGGATGAATTGCAGAACTGACTTGAACTGATGAATTGAACTGAGTGAGAAACGGCGACCTCGGGACTTGTCCCTGCAGGGCACCAGGGCGCTAGCTGCTTGCTTTCCCCAGCCTCAGTTTACACTTCCCCTCTGCTGCGAATGTGCTCTGTCCTCTGTAAAGGGCCAGACAGTGGTTTAGGCCTTGGAGGCCACCTATGTTCTCTGCCCTACACTGGTTTTCTGTTTTTTTGTGCCCCAACAACCTTTAAGAACCTGAAGACCCTTCCTAGTTCCTGGGTGGCACGGCTGTGGGGGCGGCCACTGCCATGTGCTTACTGTCCTCTGTCCAGGCCGCCGCCTCCATGTCCCCAGCCCGGCTCTGCACTGACCTGGGGGTGTACCTGTGTGCTGTGCTGAGGCCTGCCATAGTCAGCAGTGCCTGAAGCTGCTATGTTCAGTGACCAGTTGTGTATACTGATGTTTGGGCTTAGAATTAAAAACATGTTCTTAAAATTAAAAAAGAACATTTGGAAAATTTCACAATTATTGAAGCCAGGCTGTGGGTACTTTTGCTTTTATGAACGGTTGAAATTTTTCATAAAAAATTAAGTTTAAAAATTAAAATTAATTACAAAATTAAAATGAAATAATGCATGTATGTCTGCTAATTATGTGTACTTGCACACAATGCATGTGCATATCTGGGTAAAACCAAGGATTCCTTCTGGAAACTCCACCGCTTTGTGCCCACCGTGCCCGAGCTCCACACCTGCCGGAGGTTGGGCTGTGGCTCACTGTCCTGAGGGCAGAGGCAGGGGCCCCCTGTGGCTGCTGGGCAGGGCTGGGACCAGCTCTGGGAGGGGCGGGACTCCGAGAGTGAGCCCCCTGTAAGGTGCCCACATTCTTCTTGCTCTCTGGGTGAGGTTAGGTGACCTCATAACGACCCCTCAGGCTGATCCTGTAGGATTGGCTGCTGGTGAGAGATCGTTCTGTACTATTTTTGCTTCAGGGGTGGGCCTGTTTCAGGAATTTGGGTTAATAGTCACTGCCTTGTGTTGCTGACTTGAAGT